GGAAAGTTTTTCGTGCCCCACCCGGTATGTAACATGCTTTTAGAAAAATATGCGGATACACTCAGTGCGCACTGACTGACAAATGTAAATCGCCAATAGTAATTTAAAAATAGGACGACAATTGTCGCCACTGTAGCTAATATAACAGTTTCCACTTAGCATGGGAATATTTTCTATGAAAAATGACATTTTATTTGAATATTAACGTGCCGAATATGGAAAATCCAATTCCTCGTATCACAAGAATCATTTTCCGCACGGAAATCTATTGAAAATCGGAAATTATTCGAGAAAAACCAATAACGGCCAAAAAACACAATTTTAAAATGGCCGCCCAACGCCTGCTTTGATGTTTTTGAAACGTGAAGTTAGCTAATGAATAATTTTCACTTTATTTGATGAAAAATTAGATTTTGCTTAAAAATTCAATTCTTTGCAGTTTGCACCCCAATAAAGTTTTTTTTTTTCGTATAAAACTAAAAAAACGCAATAGGGGAATCCAACGACCTGTCAAATCATCAATTCAATATGGCGGCAACGGTCAAACATATGCGATGTGGGTTTATGTATTTGAATATAAAACTACAGGAAGGAGCTTCAGTCAACGCAGGGACGGAAACGGCCATATTGAGCCTCCAAGTATGACTCCATCATTTGTTTTGGTGGTTCGCTGTATCCTCTTTAAAGTGGAAATTTAATGGATTTTAGCGGTTTAAAGTGATAATAAGCCGTGAGATTAGCGCGAAAAGAGTGATTATGTGTGGTTTAATTTAAATACTGGTAAATACTTTTTTTTATCTTGTCATAATATTGACAATCATATTTAAATAAATATACGCCACTGTCAAACCGGAAACACTAGTCGGCCATATGCAGCCTCCATTTTGCGCAAATTTGAGGTTATGCTCCTTCCTGTAGTTTTATATTAGGTTTATGTATAGAAAAATCAAAACCCAATGTGGCGGTTATAGTCAAACAATGGAATTGGCGCCAAAAATATCGTTTACCTGGAGACAACTGTGTTATTATAAAAATGTGGAAAAAAAATCTGTTCGAAATCGTAATTTTGGCAACGTCGCTTTCAATCAAGTAGGCCTTGTAGGTAATGGAATGTCATTTTTCACTTTTGATAGTCGGCCATTTTGAGTGTCTATTCAATTTTTCCTCGAATTTTCCGCTTTTCCAGAACGTTTTCAATCGGGAAATCTAATTCAAAATGCGAGGCTTTGAATTTCATTCATTTTCTGCCAAAAATTTCCAGCTTTTCAAGGGGGTAAGTAACGAAAACTTTAATTCCTCAGGTAGGTTTTGAAATGGTCATTTTCTATTGGTTTTTTTTATTGATAACCTATTTCACTTATTTAAAGTACTCCTCAGCGTGTTTAAATCCAACATTCAAAAACGCGCGTGTTTTAAAGTTACCAATGACAACATCAACAACCAACAACCCGAAAAAGGTCTAAATGTCAACTTTTTAATTATTGATTTGTCAGGAGTAGGTACTTGTAGATAACGTCAAATAAAATATAACAAGTGTCAAGCACGAATTAAGCATTCTACAATTATTAGTAATTTATGATTTGATTAAACGTATACCAATAAAAAAAAATAGTGTAAAGTATTCGTGGATAACTGGTCTTTAAAACACTTGCTCTATTTCGAGTACTCCGGCTGCGCCGTCGTGCTCGAAAAAACGCGCGTGTTTTAAAGACCTTAATATCCACATACTTTAATATACTATTTTCTTTACATTTTCCGTTTTTTTAAGGTGTTTTTAAATCAGAAAACGGTGGTTTTAAGGGCGGGACTTTGAATTTGCGCCTTTTTCTGCCTGTCTTAGATAAATTGAGTATTTAATATGCATCCTACTTTATCTCTTTCTTTGTCTTACTCAGAGGGTTTTGTAGCCATTTTTGCACTTGAAAAACACTAAATTTAGCCGAAAAACGGTGCCCTGAATCGAAAAAAGGGGCCTTCAGAACAAAAAGACCCCATTTTGAATTAACTGTCGATGTCGAAAAATTACAAGTCCTACTTTGAAACGTAATTTTTTTTTACTTTTTATTCCAGGGTTGCTGCATTTATGGAAATTATCGACAATCTACTGTAATTTATCTAAAAAATGGGGCCCCGAGCCGAAAAAAAGGACCCACAAAAGAAAAAAACGCCTTCTTGAATTCACTAACTGTCAAAAGTTACAAGGCCTAGTTTGTGAAATATCAAAATGTTTTGATGTTTGTACTAGGGTTGCTGCATTTTCAATTTAATGGATATTATTAACAGTTAAGGCCCCAAAAGGTTAGAAAGACGTCATTCCGAAGCCAACTGTTAAACCAAGTAGGCCGATGGAAACAACCATGATTTTTATCGATTGTCGGTAGAGATAAAACCAACTGAGAAAAAGCCACCGCGTGATCTTTTATCTCACTTCTCTGTGTGTAATTTGTGGATTTTTGAGGAGATTTTCTATTGCTCGAAAAAGATAATTTACGTATTTTCGTAGTAGTGTATAGACAAAAAAACAAACACACACATCACCGATGTTTGACCGTTGCCACCATATTGAATTTATGTTTTGACAGGTGGTTGAATTCAGGAATAGTATACACTACTAAGAATTGCGCTTATCGCAAGGTTCCTAAACTTAATAGGTTGCCTGCTAATGGGTAACTTGATGATGCATCTGAGGTGCCTTATGGAGATTTGCATTATGTTGAGGCACCCCAGATGACGTCATTAAGTTATCAGGCAACTTACTTCTCTCAAACAACATTGGTTTATCGGCCTCGTTTTTGATAATCACCGCCAGATTGGTGTGTCACTATTTCCGACGTCATAAACAAGTCGTCAGCTGTGTGCACTGCACTAGAGGTCGTAGGTAGTTCAGAATTTAAATTTAGGATGAAAAATATTACCTATTTAATTTTGATTAATATAATAGGCAAAGAGGAAGATGACAACAAGATCTAAAAAAATTTTGTTTTAGAATGCTAATTAATGAAGTAAAACTAGCCTTGCGTTCCGTATTTTGCTCAAAGAGCAGAGCGTGCTGAGCGGAGCCGTAATCACGTGACCAGCGAGCAAACGGAGAAGTTGAACGCTGTATCAGAGTGCCAGAAATTTCAATAAACGAACGCGGATGAGCCTGCACCGAGTACACTTTTCAAATGAACAAACGGTAAATTCAAACTCGGAGAACTCAGATCAAAATACCGAACGCACGTCAAGGCGAAAAAGGACATGCTTCCTACGTCACAACTAGTGATTTGGCATGATGGGGGGCTTCAGATTTGTTCCACACAGGTCTCATGAGGCTAGGCTATCCTGTAGTAGTAGTGTGTATTATCCTTGGTTGGTTGGTTTCATTTTGAAATGGCCGTCCAAATCCTACTTTGATGTTTTCGAAACGTGAAGTTAGCTAACGGAAAATTTTCATTTTTCTTGATGAAAAATCAGATTTTCTTAAAAAATTACTAAAAATTCAATTCCTTGCAGTTTGCACCACAAAAAAACAGTTATTTTTCGTATAAAACTACCAAAATGCAATAGGGCAATTCAACTTGTCAAAACACAAATTTGATATGGCGGCAACGGTCATTATCTGTGACGTGTTTATCTTTTGTTTTTCTGGAGTTTCTATGTCGAACAGTGCCGGAATGGGACATTTTTTAGGCCCGGGTTGGAGGGAAATTCTTTAGTCTACTCAGTGGGTGATTTCCCAATTCGGGCCTGTACACTTTGGATGGTTTTAATTTAATCCAGGTTTAGCAGATTTTGATAAAGAAAAAGATAAGAATTAAGAGATATTTGAGGAAAAAAAACAATAAGAAAAGAGAGAATTACCAGCTTTGTTCCAACACTCCAAAAAACCGTACAATGTACCGTCAGGATTCTGCGCAAAGCCAAAAATGTGTGCGCAGAACCCGAAACTCGTATACAGAGTGTTTTCGAATCCGTTCATGGGATGGTTTTTGACGTGTTGGAACAAACCTAACATAATCTGGTAATAACTGAGAAAATAAGAAAAAACAGACGTTGGTTTATGAGCATTTTAATCATTATTTTTTGAAAAATTCACTTGGAGAAAAACCTCATATAAATAATGTTTAAGGAAACATTATCATTACCTATTCATTCTTCCTTTAAGGCCGTGTTTATTCATCTTCAGATAATCTTGCTGGTACCTAACTATCAGCAAGATAATTGATAAATTTACCGTTCCATAATGGGATTATAGATTGCATAATCTGAAAGTTTATTAAAAGGTGAATAAACTGGGCCTTAAAGTTTATATTGTTGTCCTACGTCAAGGCGGTAAAAGACACGCTTTCTACGTCATCACTGGAAGGTTATAAAATAGCACACAGCTTATTTGAGAGTTAACATATAAATTTGTTATGAGCAGTCGTGGCCGAGCGGTTAAGGCGTCTGACTAGAAATCAGATTCCCTCTGGGAGCGTAGGTTCGAATCCTACCGACTGCGAATTAGATTTTTTTTGCTATTATTCCTTAAAATTATACCATTTAATTTTTCTATTCCATTATAACTTGAAAATGAATGCGTTATATTGATTCGAACCTGAAAGTGAGTAAATTATTGAATAGAGAAAATTGCTGCTAAACATCTCAAGCTACAGGCAAAGTTTAAAAATAGTCGAACATCTGGATGCTGCATTCAAATTAAAAATAGATTAAACGCCAGGGTTAACAATGCCAAATAACTACTTGGTGCCCTCTTTGAACCAGAAATTGTTACTATAACAAAAGAATTTATTTGTGAAATCCAAACCCAATTCGGTTTTGCAATTGTGCAATAGTTTTCCACTATTTACCTTAATCTAAAAATACTTTAGACAATAACAATAATACCTAAATTAAACGATAAGTACACAAACACTTAGCAAAAAATTACGAAATCTTAATGGAAACAAAACAATAATTAAAAAAAATAATACTTATAATGCCTTTATCATATTACCATCCATTAACTACATATATAAAGCCCATATTTTGTGCATTATCTATTTATTATTAGTACTTATATATGCACTACATCATGATTTATAAAGTCACTTTCCTTATTTCTGCTTTGCTAGGTAAATAAATTTCTACTAAAATTATCTCTTATTTATTATTATTTGTTTCAGCACTCACTGGTACCGAAGCCAAAATCTATGGACAATGCGAACTAGCAACAGCGTTGAGGAACCAAGGGGTTCCAGAAAACCAGGTCGCCACTTGGGTTTGCATCGCCCATGCCGAATCGAATTTCGATACTACGGCAGTTAATACCAACACTTGGGACTATGGAATATTCCAGATCAGTTCGATTTATTGGTGTCAATCCGGAGACCAACCAGGTAAACACCAATCTGAAGTATTTCCAATTTCAATAAATTTATGGAACAAGATTTAATCCAGAATTATTTTTTTCCAGGTAACGGTTGTGGTATAAGCTGTAACAGTTTGCTCAGTGACGATATCACCGAAGACATCACTTGTAGCCGTCACATTTACGAGGAAACCGAAAGAGAAGGAAAAGTACCTGGATTTTTGGCCTGGACCACTTACCTGCCCAACTGTTCGGGCGATAACAGCGGATGGATTGCTGGATGTTGAATCAATTTGAATAAAAATAACTTAGATTTAATTTTTTATAATGTTTAATTGTTGATTTTAATATACACAAAATACAATCCCAATTTGAATATTCCTATAGAGTGAACCAAACAGCAATGCAAAGTATTTTCTCTATTCCAGGCTCTTGAATTCTTTTTTTTATGTCGAGAAATTTCAAGAAAAAAGGAATTCAAGAGCCTAGAATAGACATAAATTGAGGAAAAAATTATTTACATAGAAATTGAGAAATGAAATCATTTGCTAAAGAAAGTCAAAATTTATCTCAAACATTTCTAACATCATTTCCATTTGACAATTTTAAAAAAGGAAAACACAATTTTTGGTTCTGGAAGAATAATTGAAGCTTCCAAATCCTTTTTGGGGTGGATTTATAGGATTTTAATAATTTCCATATAAAATTAGATTTAATGTTTATAGTGTATTAAAAAACTCCAATCAACTCAAACTTTCTCTGCATGCAACTTGTTCTTTTTAAATTGCTTCTAAAGCTTTCGGTGATGATTTTTAAAGCTTCTTTTTTTTTAAATTGATTGCCCAAGAATGGAAAGATGGCTTTTAAGGCTCTTTTACTTAAATTAAGTTTTCTGATAATAATTTCTGTAGCTCTTAATTCTTTCTATTTAGTTCCTCATAATTAAACAAATATAATAACAAGTTTTTGTTTCATATCAGCTAATCAACAAAAAATTGACTGGCATAGGTATACAAAAATCGTTGCATTGACCTAAAACTGGATCAATTGACGTCACAAAGTCGCCCTGAAAACTTATCACAGGCCTTATTAACATTTATGTTAAAAATCCATTTTTTATCAGGCTAAAAATTACTATAAAAGCCACCAATTACAGCACTAATTCATAAAAGTGGAAAAGTGTTAAAACAATAATTAAACATGTTGATAAAAGCAACAATTGTAGCTGTTTTAGTTGGTAATTATAATCACTAGATACATTATTTGCATTAAAATTTTCCTATATATTGTAGTCATATTATCGGAGCTATCCGAATCCAAAATCATGGACAAATGCGAAGTAGCGAGGGCACTATGGCAAAAAGGAGTACCAGACTGGGAAGTACCGACGTGGGTCTGCATTGCGAACGCCGAATCACGTTTCGACACGTACGCAGTCAATCGCAACACCTGGGACTATGGAATCTTCCAGATCAGTTCGCTCTGGTGGTGCCAATCAGGCGATACACCAGGTAAGAATTTTCAGTAATGAATCCATGATTATTATCCAGATTCTTTTCCAGGCAAAGGATGCAATTTGAGCTGCAACAGTTTACTCCACGACGACATATCGACCGATATTGATTGTGTACGTAAAGTCTACGCTGAAACTGAAGCTATGGGACAACGTCCCGGTTTCAAAGCCTGGACCACCTGGCAACCGCATTGTTCCGGGGATAATTGGCATTGGGTGCAAGGATGTTAATAATTAGGATAGATTAATAATAATAAATTAATGATGATTTTAATTGTATTTAAGTCTAAGTATTTAATTCCCCTAGTGGGAGATACGAGACCTTACCGCCGTCTGGCGGTTCTCAGGTAAAGCCATTGCGAACTCCTGGGAACCGCCACTCGGTTCCAAGAAACATCTCAACCCAATTCAAGATGTCAAGGGGCCCGTGTCGACACCGTCGCAAAAGGAGCCTCTGAAAAACAGCCTTATCTCTGTGCAAGGAGCGAGCACCACAGAGCCTGACCACCCTTTCTCCCTCACTCATGTGATATATTATAGAAACATAAATAGAAAAAAACAAACCAAAAGGAGTTAGAGGAAAATCCCAATGGTTCAGCCTTAACCAAACCTGCTCTTGAAATAAAGTCGGTGGAAGGTCCAACAGATCAAATCACCACAAGATCGCCGGAGACCAGCACAAGCCTTGCGGAAGAAAGGGCTTCACGCTTCATGTTTATCCCAATGTTTACTCCTTTACTTCCTGTGTTTGTCTTATTTGAAAAGTCGCCCTGATAGAGCCCAGTGGCGTGAAGAGTGTGTCCCTGTAGTCTACATATTTTTTCATCGAAATAGCTATTTTGAGAAATTAACTTATTTTTGACTGGCTGCATGACTGAAATACGCAGTGATTAGTGCGCAGCTACTTCAGCGCTTGCGGCCTAGGGTGGCATGAGATTTAAATGTGGATGATGTCGATATAGTAGATCGCTGTGAATTTGTGCAGTGAATGCCTGCTTCCACCAACTCAACTTTCATGAAGAGACAGAATAGGTGGGGCTTTCCTGATCTAAGATTTCCTGAATTCGAATCTGGAAGCTGGAAGCAGCAAAACCGAGGAAGATCATAAACCTATGAGGAACCTTGGGTCTCAAATCAACAGATTAAAGATAAACAAGGCCAAACTCTCTGGCGCCCAGAAACGCCACTATCTAACGGGTTAAAGTCAGAGAGGAACCTATTATACCTCGCAAATCACGAGCAAACAGGAAACCCCAAACTCCTAAACAGGAACAAGGCACTTCAGGCACTGATAACGCTGGAACACAACAAACTCCAATAGCTACTGCGAACCAGCAGCAAAATGGGGATTAAAATAATCAGCTCAAAAGGGATCAACACCATCACCAACACAAATTCCTCAAAAGATTGCCGAACACAATCAAGCTGCAACAAAACCCAGTAAACCAACTGGGGCCATTTATAGCAAGGTTGTGTCAGAAATCAAGAAGGCTCTGAAGTGCAGACATCTGAAAGTGCCAACCTGGAAAATAACTCAAGTTCAACCATAGCCAAGCTGATCATGGTATGGTTTACTAATGGTAACCCCAAAACTAAACCCCTGGGAAAGGGCAAACCTGAGAGTACTACCATTCAAGAATGTCGCTCTCAGAGTAAGGGTATCGATGTGGATACCCAAAGAACATCTTGATGCTGACGACCCGACACAAACACTCCGTTGTCTAAAAACCCAAAACGAGGGGATGACTGGAAGGTGTTCAACATCAAGGTAGAACCAAAAGGCTCCATTCTCGTTGTGGGAATAGACGAGAACTCTCTGAAGGTGCTAACCAAGAAAGACTTTAAGCTTTATTTTGGCCTCACGATGCCTTGAGGGTCTTCGATCCAAAACCCAAAAAGGCTGCTGGTCCTTTAGATAAACTTGCAGCATAAGAAGGTTGCAACTGCTTCCTTCTGCAAAACTTTCGAGGCAGGGGGCATTGACGTGGCTCTAATTCAAGAACCCTGGACGTCAGGGAACAGAGTCAAGAGTTTAGACAAGTGTATATTATGGTACTTGATAATCTTGATATGGTATTATTATAATATTAGGCCTGTTCGCACAGCAATCACAAACCAGTCAGAGCGAATTTCATTGGTTGAAAACAATCAGAAACAGTCAGAAAACTATTTTCAACCAATGAGATTCACTCTGACTGGTTTGTGATTTGTCTACAAACAGGCATATTGTTAATTGTGTTTCATCTACCTATTTGTTTGAACATTTGTAATTAGTAGTTAATATTATTATTAACGTGTTTGTGATTAGACATTCTTCCTAACATGAACAAGTAGTTGCCAATTGTTATTATGGAGATTATAGACATAATCACAGATTAACCCCTGCTATCAAGAAGGAGGGGTTAATTATTCAAAGGGGGTTAATCTGTGGATATAATTATTATGTAAAGAATTTTGTAATAGATCTAATAGAGGATTAAGTATATTAGAACATTATAAAGATGCTTTATTTTATAACGACGAAGTTATACATGGTGTCAGGTCGCTAGTGCACCTACAATGTATCGGAAATGTGAAAAAATATATTCTAATTCGTCTTGTTTTAGTTGCTTTTGCACACTGCTTGTTGTTTTTGCTGCTCAAAAAAGAAAATGGAAAATTATTTTATGTCTCTAGAACCGCTCGTGCTTAATGGAAATATCTCTGAGAACTGGAAGAGATTTTCTCAAAAATTTGTCTTATTCTTAGAGGCCACAGGATTAGAGGCCAAAGCTGAGCAAAAAATTGCATGTTTTTTATCCATAATTGGTGATGATGGCCCTGACTTGTTCAACAGTTTTTCATTTGAGGGCGAGGCTCTGGATAATGTAATAAATTTCTGTAAAACCACAGAAATCAGTAAAGATCCAGTAAGGACCTTGCACAATGAATCTCGAGTAGATGCCATGCTAGTACAACCAGAAATTTCAGTAAAACAAAAGACCCTAATAAGCTTTATAGGAATTGTGGTCATAACCAGCTTCAAATCACCGGGACCAGATGAAACTATACCAGCACTCCTACAAAAGGCGGTAGACCTTGTAACACCACACACCTCTGTAGGCTGTGCAGAGCCAATATGGCAGACTATATTCCTTGGTCCTGGAGATAAGTAAAAGCGATCTTTATCTGAAAACCTGGCAGAGACCCATCTCAGGCGGTCATACAGACCGATCAGCTTACCGTCCTTTATGGTAGAGGTGACAAAGAAACTAGTTGAAAAGCACATCAGGAAAATCTCACTGAAAAAGAGGAAATCGCACTAGTGGCATTCCTTGACATAGAAGGAGTCTTTGACCACACCTCCTTTAACTCCATAGTCAGAGCTGCTGGAAAACATGCAATTAATGATACCGCATGCAGATGGACCAAATCCATGCTAAAACACAGGATTATAAACTCGACTACTGCTGAAACCTCTGTTAAAGTAACCGCGACATATAAAGCCGAAAAAATCCCTTAAAAAATCCTTCGCCATCCAGATTGTCCCAGTAGGAAATACCTAGGCAACACGTGAACAAAAAATTGTTTTGCTTACTGAGGGCTCCAAAATAGAAAGTAGAATCGGCGCTGAAATATATGGATAAACTCCCAGATGCGACATCAGTCAACCTCTGGGAAAATATACTACTGTATTCCAAGCAGAAATATATGCCATTGACTCCTCTGTCTAGAGAAAACCTAAGTAGGGGATACACAGTTAAAAACATCCTTATCTGCTCAGACAGTTACGTGTCGATTAAAGCACTCAACAGCTTTGAAATAAAATCCAAATTTGTCTAGGAATGCTTGGAAAACCTCAGAAACCTAAGTATATGGTCAAGTGCCAGGGAATTGGAAGGGCATGAAAAAGTAGAGATTCTGGCAAGAGAAGGATCAGCAACCAGTTATACTGGTCCTGAGTCCTGACCCGGCAATTGGCATCACAAAATTTTTGGTGGAGCCAAAAATAAATCAATGAGTGTATAGACAACACCAAACCTATTGGCAAACTCTTCCGAAGCTCAGACACAGTAAGCTAATGGTACAACAACCATCACCTAAACTTACTGAAGAGATTCTACAACTAAACAGGAATCAAATCCAGGCTCATAACTGGACATTGTAGCTTGAGAAAACACCTTCACAAAATGGACATCCTCCAAGGAGAACCCATATGCAGACTTAGTGACGAGGACTGTTATGTTTACTCTGCCATACTGTCTCATTGCAGATGGTTATTTTTTTAATAGATAACCTGAAATTCATAATTAGTTTTGTAAGTACAATGTCCCGTAGACTTATCAGAGGCCTTATTAATATTAATTTATGTTAAAAAAAATTAAAAATTAATTGTTATCAGGCTAAAAATTACTATAAGAGCCCTGCAATTACTGCATTATTGCATTAAAAGTGAAAAACTGGAAGCTTCAAAATGTTACTAAACCTGATACTTGTAAATGTATTTGGTATAGTCTTAATATCGACGTTGTCCGAATCGAAAATCATGACCAAATGCGAAGTCGCCAAGGCTCTAAGACAAAAAGGAGTACCGGAAAAGGAAGTACCGACTTGGGTGTGCATCGCGAATGCCGAATCACGTTTCGACACGCACGCAGTCAATCGCAAAACTTGGGACTATGGCATATTCCAGATCAGCTCGCTCTATTGGTGCCAATCTGGCGATAAACCTGGTAAGAACTTGAACTTTTGATTCAAACAACATGGAAAGTAGGCATTATCATTACATCAAGAATTGTAGACACTCAAATGAAAAATGATGGAATGAATATTTGTAGATTCTTCTCTTTTTCAGGCAAAGGATGCAATCTGAGTTGCAACAGTTTACTTCACGACAACATCTCGACCGACATCGATTGTATACGTAAAGTATACGCCGAAACTGAAGCCATTGGACAACGTCCAGGTTTCAAAGCCTGGACCACCTGGAAACCACATTGCTCCGGCGATAATCGTCAGTGGGTGCAGGGATGTTAATAATTAGAATAGATTAATAAATAATGATGATTTCCAATAAACCAAATCCAAGAGTAAAAGGTTTTTGCCATTTTCAGCAGGATAATAAATATTAATATATTCGCTTATCAAGAGCTTTTAAAACCACTGAAGTTTAAGTTTGTCCTCGAGGGTGCTGTTTAGTTTTAAGGTTTTTAGCTGCACTTTAATGGGACTAGAAGGAGGCATTAATTGAAGATAAATGTTGCAGCTTTCCGAGAGAGAAAATGCTATTTACCGGGCAATTGGATAAATAGGACAAAATTAAGGTCAACTTTGTTGATTTTAGAGTCCCTATATCTTGGCGATATCATTTCTAGTCTTTAATATTCAAAAGTAAACAACTGAACCGAAATAAAATATTCAAATGGCTTTCATATTTAAAATTTCAGCTGCAGCCGGATTTAAAACCTTTTAAAAGTTTCGGAAAGACAAAATTCAAATTGCAAAAGTTGCTCCACTGAAATCAGTTTCTTATAATTATAATAATAATTGCAAACCGAAAATCAAACGTCCAGATGTGTGAGTCGAATAATCAATAATCTAGTATTTTGTTCCATTCACCTTTTGTTCCAGTTTCCAGATAATGTGCTTTCAATGCACTTTCTCCAGCGATAAAATCCAGGATTTACTACTTTCTTATAGGTCAAATGAATCATTTTGAAACCGTAAGATGTGTAAAATTGAATTTTGCATAATCATTTGGATGTTTATGTAACTAGAGAACAATGTGTAGCTTTTCCAGGAAATAGTTTTCAATTTATATTATCTGGAAGAATGTAGGAGCAACGAGTTAAAAATATCACAAAGCAAGTCCTTACCTGTTCGTTAACAAATTATCCAAAATCTTCTGATCCCTCTCGCTTCTCACACTGACCAAATGTCCTCCGAGTCTAACGCACTCGCCCTCGGCCTTCGGCCAAGACATCTTGACCGAATCCCGAGCCGAAACGCAAAATTGCCGGACGGCTACCCAGCCGAACTCGCACGAACCGACTATTTCCGGCACCGGTACTGCGCGGTACGACATGCGCAGTTTCGACGCGGACGTTTCGACCGAATCGCGCGTCGCCTTCAGGACGATTTTGTTGGCTTTCGATACGAATTCGATTTGCCTTTCGCGATCGCCGGTTTTCGTGCAGTGCGACCAATCCGAGTCACCGTCGTGTAGTTGAGTCAGCAAGCCTTGCTGGCAATGAGGAAGTTCGCCGTTTTTCGTGTCTTGGAAGTTTAGTTGGACGTTGTTGTTTGGGTCTTCTGGAACAAAAACTTAATTAATCTGGATGATAACAGCAAAAAATAAAAATCCTCTACCTTTTACTTTGCTATCTCCGATTTGCAATTTCAAAGCAACTCTATTTCCGTAGGGCATGTAAATGCGAAACGTGCACTGCAGCTGTCCAGAAGGTTTCAGCTCGACGGTGCCGTCTTTGTCCATGAAAGTGATGTTGTAACAATAATCCACTAAACGATACGATATTGCAAAGGTCGGCTTTCCGTGTACGTGCATGAACGGCAACGATTTACTGGTTTCTGGAAAGTAGATGTTACGATCCGAATCTGGAAGTTCTTCCAGTTTGCCTGGAATAAAATTTAATTTCGTTAAATAAAAATGCAGTATTTTCCCTATTAATCAACCCACCCACATAAAGGATAATAGTCATACAATTTACAGTGTAATTTAATCTAATTAGGCTTGATTAAACTGAAACTGTAAACTATTTTAAAGCTTGATTTATGTACTGCTAAACCATGGTGTGGAAGCTGCAGGGAATAATGTGGTTTTACGGCAAAACTTAATTAAAACGAGTGTGTCATATTAGTATAAACTCCTAGTTAGAATCTAGTTGAAGCCCTTGACCTATTTGTATACTTACATATTTTTTTTCAACAAAGGCAATCTAAGAGGGCTCTCTAAGGGTAAGAGCTATTAAGATTTCTCGAGAGTAAATCGAAGTAGTTTTCAAGTTAAAAAGCACAAAGGCTATTTTTTAAAATTGATTTATTAAACTGTATTTCTAGCAAAATGATTAACTTGTGCCAACATTATGAGAAAATAAACAAACACAAGTTTCCAAACTATTATTGAATCTAAGCCAGAGCAAATGCCTTGGGGAAATTCAGGCAATTACTTGCGGTAACAGAAAATTGATTGTGTTTTCATGGAAAAGTTTGATTTATGGTTTCTAAAATCCTTACCGCAAAGTTTATGTAAGTTCCTGCCATGTTGGTACTGTGTCTGATTGGTACCGCCAAAGTGAATAAAGCCTTTATTACAAGGCACGTTGAGCTTTAAAAGTTCCACAACTAAACCGTGTCCATCGTTGGGCGAAGGGAACCATATTTTACAGTCTATCGATTTGGGTAGGTCTTGATGGTTGAATGTAGACGATTCTGGATGAAGATGGAGACGACATTCTGAAAAGAAAATCCAAAATTGTTTAATAAACTGCTTATTCTGTGTATTATAAGACTTCATTAAATAACCTCTGTCTCTTGGAAAGTTTCCAACCACAGTGTGGTGTCGTTAAAATTCAATCAAACTTTAACCACGCCACGGACGAGATTTTGAGATTAGTTTCTTGAGCCAGTTTATCGGATGGAGAAAGTTCCATATGAAATATAAACAGAGGCGTAGATCAGGTTATAGGTGGATTTTAACTAAAATCGTAGGGTGAAACTTTATAAGTCTCTAACCATGGGTTATTTAAAAGTAAATCGGAGTATATAGGAGCTTTTTGAAATGAAGTTTATTAAGGAATAGTTAATCGTATGTTTGTTCCCGGCTCTTGATTTAAAGCAGAAATCGAGCATCAATCAATCGAGTCAATTTTGATGCCATTTTGTAGCTTCCTAGTGACATAACACAATTTAACATTAAGAACAAAATGGCGGAATTATTATAGAATTTCTATACCTATTGAAGAATCAACTAATTAAGTATTTATTCCAGGCTCTTGATTTTAATCAAGAAAATTGAGAAAAAAATGGCGGAATTATGATAGAAACATTATAAAAGTCTACGTTGCGGTAGACATCTTCAGAGGCGGTGTGGTAGAGGATGAAGTGTTCTCTTCCGTGTTCCTCCGATAACTGGATTCGACGTTGTCTACCGCAGCAGTAGACGAAACGTTAGGTAGAAATACCTACTAATGGACCACACCATTATAGCCCGGAAAAAACTTTTTTACTAGATTTGACCGGCCGTGAAAGCCTTCATTCTTTATTCAAACGCCTCTACTCTACTGTTGAAATAACAATCCAAATATTTGTATTTTGATATAGAGTTAGGTAGCAGTGTAAACGCAGCTTTAGTTTAATTGACAGTTTTAACGTATAATGTTAAGAATATTGTTGTGGTTATGATTCAAGGAGAATACCTCAGAGAATACACACTCTAAGAAGTGCTTATCGGCCTCGTTTTTGGTGATCGCCGCCATATTGGCTTTCAACCATTGCCGATGTCATAACTAAATCGTCAACTGTTTAAACAGCCTACGTCAAGGTGAGAAACGCCATGCTGCTTACGTCACAACTGGTTGTTTGGCGTGGAGGGGAAGGGGGGATTTGTTACACTACAGGCCTTATGAGGATAGGCCATCCTGTAGTAGTAATGTGTATCATCCTTGGTTATCCCGTAACTGGTGAAGTAATTTTTTTGTTACATAACCGGTGAGGTGGGGTTTGTTAAACCCCAAATGAAAAAGGCGATTCTGCTAATTCAAAATAAAAAAACGTGTATGTTATTCACTTTTGGGTAACATTTGTCCTTTTGGAACGCGTAGGCACAGTTTATACCGTACCGATACAGTTGTACAACTCTCCATATTTTTTGAGGCCAAATTCTCCAACCAATAGGAGCATTTTGACCCATATCTTGCGCATGCGCTCAATGAGTGAACAAATCTCTCAAATTGAAAAAGCAGTTCGGCATATACATGTCTCTTTCCAATCCTGCACGCAAAAAAAGAGATAGAGGTAGCTTGGGTGAGAACCCGCGAGAAATAACTGTCAAACGAGACACGCAACAGGATTGTATTACAAAAAAAGAAGAGAAGTTTTTTGACTGAAATTATTCTGGAAATTGAATAGTAACAGGAAAATTCATCAATTTGAAATTCGGCTTTGTCAAGAGTGTTTTGCTTTCCGTGTTATCCGCGATTTTTGTGTACTTGACTGTTTTATCGTTTATATATTGTGTATTATCATGGTTGCTTTCTGTTTTGTCTGTAAAAACAACACTTGAACTAGCCCAGGCTTAGGATATTTTAGTTTCCGAACGATGAACGACTGTAAGTATTTATATTTACATATTTCATATTAGGTAAGGTTACTCTATACATTCAAATAATTGTTCACATTCGAAAAATATCTAATACTGTGATGCAAATCTGGATGGTATTGAAATCCTGGCTGTTTCCTAATGGTCTAAGAGCCAGTGAACTTTTTTGCGTAAAAACTTAGTGATGGCTACTATTTGTTTCGAAATTATAATATAATCCCGTTATATTCTCAATGTTAATCCACAAAAAAATCCTAGTCCGACTCTGTCCACGGCCCAAGATTCGTTGTTTCCGATCAATAATGCGCAAGCGCGAAATATAGGGACATAGAATTTGGCTTCAAAAAAATCAATGGTTTGTCAACGGAGTTGAACAACTGTATCGGAACGGTATAAACTGTGGCGTAGGTACAGTGGGAATCATTGCAATTGGCACACACTCTTTTAACATCCCTCGTATTAAGTCAAAATTCTAACCGATAATTCTGTTTAGTGGATGTCATTGGTTTAGTGCCATTACCTGTGTCACAGTTTATACCGTACCGATACAATTGTTCAACTCCGTTGACATAACATTGATTTTTTTGAAGCCAAATTTTGTGTCCCTATATTTCGCGCTTGCGCAATTGATCGGAAACAACGAGTCCTGAGCCGTGAACAGAGTCGGACTAGGATTTTTTGTGGATTAACATTGAGAATATAACGGGATTATATTATAATTTCGAAACAAATAGTAGCCATTCAAGGAACAAAGTTTTACCAAAATTCTATTTCAAGTAAACTTTTTGGAGAGCAATTAACCCAAACTAACCCAAACGACTCACAGTGAGGTCGGGTTACACAAACCCCAATTTGTACAAAAATCGTAATATCGCACACCAAGTAGGATATCGCGCGTTGTTGATACCGAGGGTACTGACGGACAACAGACCGAAAGCTACACAGGAGGTTGCGGGTCTCCAACCATTAGTTAATACGTGGTAAAGATTCTTAAACTCTGTGGGGTTTGAGAAACCCCACTTCACCAGTTACGGGTTATGATTGGCCTTGTTCTGTTGTTGGTTGTTGTTGTGTGGCACGTTTTGCTAAAGAATAAAAATTACTTCTGGAAATTACTTTAAATATTTATTTGTTCGTTATTTGGTCTTTCACAAACTTAGTAGCATCAGCGCACTCTTTAGGTTATGGGCACAGAGGAAAAGGCGTCGCTAAATTTGGAAATTGTAAATTACTGTTTTTGTGTGTGAACAGGAATTGTGGGGAATGAGGAAAAATAAAAATAGCTACATCCCTGGAAGGAAATTGTACTGTGGAAAAGTATGGAATTGGACAGTTCAATGGCACAAAATAATGACCACTGGAAATTCGGGATGAAAACAAATTAGGCCAAAATGGGGTAAAAGGAACAATTGAAAATGAAATCTCTTCTCCAACTGAACAGCAGCTAAAACTTGATAAGAAAAGCAAAGCAATTATTGTACAGTGTGTAGCAAATTCTCACCTGAAATATATCAAGGACAAACAGACTGCATATCAAATGTGGGTTGCCTTAGAGAAGGTTTTCCAAAGGAACGGTAGATAGTCAATTGTACCTAAGAAGAAAGTTGCTGACTTTGAAACTTGAAAGAGGCGAAAGTCTAGAAAATCACTTCATAAAGTTTGAAGAGACTGTTCGAGAACTTAAATCTGTTGGGGCCAGCCTAGAAGAAATAGATATTGTATGTCACTTGTTGCTGACATTGCCTGCTAGTTACTATACTCGAGACTATACTATTGTAACAGTCCTGGGTCCTTATTCTCGAAACAGGAGAGCAGCGTTCTCATGAGAACGAAGGTTCTGTCTTCGTAGCTCATATTCATATTTCCATAACACTGACAAAGACAGAACCTTCGTTCTCATGAGAACACTGTTCTCGATTTCGAGAATAAGGACCCTGGAAACATTAGAACAGGATAAATTAACATTAGACTTTGTAAAAGGAAAACTATTGGACCATGAAATGAAGAGAAGGAATTATACACAACCAGAAGAAGCTAACCCAAGAAACTCAGCACCCACATAACAAAATTGCATCCTTAGAATGTAATGAGAATGTTCTTTTTTTAGGAGCAATATTCCTAGAATGTTCGCCAAAACCATTGCGAATGTCCTGAGAATGTTCTGAGAAAAGATTGTAGAAATACTGTTTGCAATACCCAAGAACTTCCTGGGAAATCCATTAGAATATTCCTAAAAAATACCTATGAGATTCTCAGTACATCCTGAAAAGAATATTCCTGTTTGATTCTAAAAATATGCTTGAAATGTATATTCTCACATTCAAAGAATGTAATGAACATTATGGTTATGTTCTCAAAAGAATATTGTACCAATATGCTTGAAATATTCTTAGAATATATCACATATATCATTCTCAATATGCATCCTAGACATAACATTCTTGTTTGATTCTAGGGATATACTTGGAATGTTAATTTTCGCTTCCAAATAATGCTCCTTTCAGTCCTTTTATATTAAAGGCAGTGAAAGAGTTATTACTTATCTGGAAAACACAAGTGTTTAACCAAAGCTCCGGTTTCGAGCTTGTTATGCTCTCGTCGCGGTAAGCACGCCAACTGAGAGAAACAGGTTCCAAGGTGATTCAAACGCTAGGCAAAATGTAGATCTTTGATAGCGCGTGGCTCCCTCTCTTGGAAGTCCTACAAAGCAAAAGAAAAAGAATATACCTATAATATTCTTAGTAGGTTCTAGATAGAGCATTATTGTTCAATTGTTCAATTAAGATTTTTGAGTAGGTACTTTAGATAATTAGGTGAACAATATGAAAATATTCTCATCATGGTTACCTACCTACATAAACTTCTCAATTCAACTTGGTAGGTATATTCTTAATACTTGATAGAGATATTAGCCGAAAGAACATTTTTTAGGGTACATTATAATAATGTTCGTATGACAATATTCAAAGATTGTTATACAAAGTAGGTTCTTAGCACAATCTTTCAGGTAGGTGCATAGAAGCAACATTCCTAGTACATAAATAGAACGTTCAAAAATGAATATTTCAATCGAAACAATCTTAGAATATTCATTAAACATTCCTAAAAGAACATGCCAAAAAGCACTTTGAGGGAA